CCAGTGACTACAGTCTCAAGGACAAATGCATTTCTGTGCATGAGTCTTGTGCAATCTGTTTTTGTCTTTTCTGGAGGATAGTAGCAGTCGTGTTTTGCCCAGGTCAGGGGTGATGTTCTGCACAGGAGAGTTTAATGTTGATTTGCTTTTCAGGTGATGATCTCATTTATTCAATGAGAAAGGACATATGAGCATTTTCAGTGTAAACAACTGTGTATCAAGTTTCATAATGGCTGGTGTTTTTCTTGCAGTCCCTAGTCTCTCAGATGTGTTAGTTCAGCTTTCAGTTAAAAGCAGAAACCACATCAAAACAAAAGCAGAGAAGCCTCTGTCCTTTTTTATTGTGGTTACAGGAAAAAAAAAATCTTTAAACAGTCAAAAACCTAAGGGGCAAAGGAAAGGAACATCAAAACATATAACTAGTAATCACTTCTAGGGTTTTCTTGGGATGAGTGGGGTTGGCAGCAGGGCATGGTTGCACTGCCTGGCTCCCCTCACTCAGCCTTTGCACAGGGTTGTAACACATCTGGGCGAGGGTGCTCCCAGTTCCCAGCTGCAAAACCCCTTCCCTGCTTGCTTCCCTGCTTTGTTCCAGCAGCACCTCTGCCAGGTCCTGCCTGCTCAGTGAGATGGATTTGGCTTCTCTCTCTGCCAGACTCTCTTCCCTTGACTTTGCATCCCTTAGTACAGCTCATAGAGGCAGATACCTGTTGAGTTCATCTGCCGTCGGCACATACACAACAAGCTTCAGAAAACATAAGAAGTAAAGACTTCGCTGAGTTCAGTTGCACTGTTTTACGCAGCAATATCATTCTCCCTAAAATGCAATGCTAAACGGTCTCCTTGCGCACTTGTGCTGAAGGGCTGGGTGCTTTCTCAGGGGTGACTTCCCCTGGTTAAGATATATGACCTGCTAGTAACTGTATAGACTCTATATTCCTCTACAGTCAGCTGCACCCCTATAGTGTGCATGCAAAATAAGGATGAGGAGTTTAAGGAAATGCCAACACAAGAGAGGTCTTGGGAACTTAATGCTTTATTGTCTCATGGGCCCTCATGGGGGCAAAGCACAGCCTGGTGCATCCGGCGGAGGCAGCAGGGAACCACAAGGGATGCCCCTTCCCCAGGGAGTGATGATCTTGGAGGGCAGAGGAGAGGGTTTGCAGCCAGGCAGCTCCTGGGGCTTGCAAAGCTTTGGGGAGGCTGGAGGGAGCTAGTCCATGTGAGGCCTTTGCTGCTGGAGCTGGGGTGTGCGGGACACCCCATCACTTCAGCTTCTGCTGGTGGACCTGCTGCTGCTGCTGCTGCTGGCACTGGACCTGTGGCTTCCCGTGGCAGCGGCGGCCGCTGCTGCTGGGCCACCCCCGGCGGCCGCCGGAGCTGTGACAGCCACCGCCACCACTGCTGTGACAGCCACCACCACTCCCGTGGCAGCCTCCGCTGCTCTGGAGGGTGTAGTGCTCCTGCCTGTGGCACTGGTCCTTGTCCTGGCGAGAGCACATCGTCGTGTTTTAGGGTGACCTGGGGGAAAGAGGAGCTGTTAGGTGCTTTCCTTTCCTGCTTCTGCTCTTCCAGGGAAGAGAAATCTGGATGTACATTTATCCAGTCTTAGACAGATCCCTCAATCGTCTTTAAAACTTGCACCAGCTTCTTATACTACCTGTGGGCTTGTCCCACCAAATCCATAGCCAAAGACACTGGGAGCATCCAGAGCAGCTGGGCGGGCTGACCACAACTGGCTTTCCAAAGCAGAGCCATCTTGCTTTCAGCTTCCCCTGCACTCCCTCCTCAACCCACCTTCCTTCTCACAAGCACCCACAGAGCAAGACCCAACCCAGTACAAGGCATGGGGCTCAGCCCTCTCCAAGCTCATCTGCGTCCCAGAGAGTTTCGAATGCTGCGCTGAGCCCCAAAGCCCCGCAGCATTGTCGCTCTTACCTGAGATGCTTGTGCAGCAAAGGGGCAAGGAGGGAATGAGGCTTTCCAGGACAGGAGCGCTTTTATACCCTCTCTGTGCACCCCATCTGGAAATGAAGCACCTCCCTATTTCAGAGGTCTGCCTGTTCGTTTAATTTGTCGATGGCTTTTTTTTTTTAACTCCCCACTCTTCAGGTTGCTTGCGTAACTCACCTCATCCGGCTGGGTATTGCCTGTTGTTATCAGTCATCTCTCCTGTGCTGCAGAAATATTTAATTGCCAGCTCTACCTGTGCTTAGCTCCAATGGGGGAGTAGTGTGGGTGGCCCTGGTTTCCACAGCTTTGCCAATTTGTTTTTGGTGTTGATCACAGCTGGGGAAAACTTTGCGTTTGGTGGGGGGAATTATGTCATATACCTAAATCACACCATCCTTTTAAAATGTCTTGAGATGCTCTAGTCCTGAAAATGCGCATAAACCCAGAGATGTGCCTATAAGTACCAATAATGCCAATGGCATGGTAGACAACCCTTCCTTAGCAGCAATTTGACTGGTACCACTGTTGGCTCATTTCTCTTGAAACCAGCTGAAATGCGGTGGAGTGGTGAAGAGACAGAAAAGGCACCCCCTATAAAACGTTTTTGTTAGTCAATAGTTTCCTGCTGTTGTGAGAAGGACCAAAAGCTGTTGGGATTCTTGGGATTCTTATTTTTATAAGGGGGAAGACCTGCTCTAGGTAGTGATCCAGGATTAGAGAGGTACATAATTATGTGGTTAACTTTCAGTCCGTGAGTAATGCTGGAGCAGCAGCACTGGTGGTTTTTTTCCAGATTGTGAGTGGCTTTGGTGCTGCGACATGGAGGAGAAGGGCTCCCATGGGTGCTGCCTTCGGTGACGCATGAAGGCCTGGGGTGGCTGCCACATTGTGGGGAGCTGGCAGACCCTGGGGACTTACTTCAAACTTGTAGGAACATCCTTTTTGGAGCACTTTTCCCAGCTCCCCAGTTAGCTCATAATTGGCTAATAAACCTGAGTGTTATTTGGACAGGTGCACAGACCCACACAAGCCTTCAGGCCAGGACAGGTACCACGTTTGCAGTGAGAGCTAATCGCAAGCAATAATTTGAGATACTCCCTGTACCTTTCCTGTACCTTTGCTGCATAGGCTGAGAAGTGCTTAGGACCATGGATCTTGTTTTGTCCTTTTCTGCCACTACTTGCAGAAGACATTTCGGTAATTAAACAGGCAGCAAATAAAAGACTAAAATCAATATTGCTAGCTGAAATGGGGAACTGCTATGATTTTGTCAGTGCAAAAGTGCTTGGAAAACACTGGCTGAAAAATATTTCACTTGCCCGCAGACATGCTTGAGCATTTGGTATTTTTGGTCCACCTCTCCTGCCTTTTATTTTTCTTTCTCCATGTTGATTAAGTTTTTGTGCTATTCCCAGATGCTGGCCACAGTGAGATGGAGGCTTAGCCCCATCCCACATTTATGTTGCTGTTTGAGAGACCTGGCATCCTTCGGGAAGCGGCTGGAAAACTAAACAAGCTGCTGAGATGCCTCTCAGCCTCTTGTGAGCTCCTCGTTTGAACGCAGGTGTCCAAACCTTCGATAAGGCACTGCAACTCCTGAGCGGTTCCTGCAACCCGAAAAACATCTGACACATTTGCCGTTACTGAAATATGGAGGATTTTTTTGAAATGCAGGTGGACAGGGCAAGGTTAATGAATCAGGTGCGCAACCTAAATGCTTCTTTTGTATTGCTTAATTGCTATTATGAACTATAACAGTGTCAGGGCAAACTGTACCCAGGTTTGATCGCTTCTGTTTAACTGGGTTTTGTTCTGTCATCAGAAGAAATATGGTAAATACTCTCTGTGAAAAAAAAGACTCAAAGTAATTTTTGGCTCTCAACATTGTGCTGTATTCAGTTCCTCATGTTTTAATTGTTCTGAGTTTGTTACAGATCAGCAGCACCCAGCCAGCAGTCCTGGGCACTTACAGATTTTGTGGCTGTACACTTCAACATGGCTTGAAAATGGGGTTTGCAATGGAAGCTTAAGGCACATGCCAGCCTCACACAACCAGCCTTTTCAAATGATTCCTACACCGAAAGCAGGCAGCCTGTTTAGGGAATTAGCTGCTGTCTGCACCCTTTTCAGCAATGCCAGATATTTCTGATCATCATGACACACTCGACAATAATCTTATCAGGGCAACATCCATTTCATGAATGACAATAGCAGACCAATAAATTACACAATTTGTTTTAATTACAAGCCAAGAAGAAATTTTTCAGTTCATTGTGTAATGCTAGCATCTTGCAACGTCCCTGTCTCGACCCAGGGCTTTTGAGGTGCTGGGCGGAGGGTTTCTAGAAAGGCTTGCTGGGGGGTTTGTCACAAACATGTGGAGATACCTGCCCCAAGGATGGCACCTTGGGGCCAGATGGAAAAAGAAGGGGTTTCTGCCCCATCATAGGTGCCTTTGCCTATCGGACCTTTTCTGCCCCACAGTTGTGCCCATAGCTGGCCCTGAGAGCTTGTGCAATGCAGCGTGTGGAGTCTTGGTAGGGGGTTTTGGGTCTGCAGCTCTGTGGGGAGGCGGCATGGAGGGGAGCTGCCTGCACTGCAGAGGCCTGAGATGGCCTCCTAAAATGTCAGCATTTAAAAATCTTTTTTCTTTCTCTTTTGCTTTGGAGTCCATAGGGGAGAGTGTGGCAGTGCTTACCTCTATCGCCTGTGTCTGGGCAGGGTAACTTCAGGGCTATTAAGCAAGCACAAGGTGTCTTGTGATATGAAACACAAGGTGAAAGAAAAATCATGAACACAAAACTCTCACAAACACTGAATTGTAGTGGCTCATATATAGTCACACACTGATACAGAGAAAACCGTGCCAGCATGAACGTAGACAGTTTATTTTAGCACCCACAGATAAGTTCATCAGAGGTACAGGACTCACCAGGGGAGGGAGAGGAGACATTTTCTTTGAAGAATGAAAGGAGACATGCAAAGCTTTCTGAACTCAGCACAAGATCAAGGACATACATGTGTATAACATGTGGATAATATTCTGATCACTTCATTTTTGAGGATACTTGATAAATCTGCTGCTGTGGCTTTCCATGGCAGGATCCCTCACTGCTCCCATGGCATCCAGATCCACCACTGCTTCTGTGGCATATGGATCCACCGCTGCTCCTGTGGCAACCAGATCCACCACTGCTCCCATGACATCCTTCACTGCCGTGGCATGAGGATTGTTCTTGCTGGTGGCACTGGTCTTTGTCCTGGCTGGAGCACATCTTTGCAGACCTGCTGGAAAGACTATCATCTCTGAGTGGGTGCAAAGGCAAGAGACACTGTGATGCCTGTCATGTAGCAGTAACAGTTGTCTGTTTAGATGGGATTATATATCAAGAATAAATTCTCATTATAAGACAGGTTCCTGAAGAACAGAGAAAAATTAGCAATGCATGTCTGCCCGTAGTGGTCCCTGACCTGTACAGAGGACTCTGTGCTATCTTCCTTTGAGCAAGTCTTTCTTTTCTCTTCTATGTTTAGCAAATTTATAAGATAGAAGTTAAAGCACTTAGTGATTAGTGAGAAGTGGTGGCCAGGCAGAGTCCAGAGCTAGACCTGAAAAGTCCTGTACTCAGTCATCTGAACCAATAAGTTTTAAGTTTTCCTGGTTGTTTTCTATTATTTATGTATAGACACGTGTGAAGAAGACAACCTAGGCAGAAGTACTGAGCAACTGTGACCAGAGATAGTCACAGAGATGAGATGTGTAAGAGAAGTGGTCAAGACCTCAGGATCAGGACAAAGCTGGTGACCATTAAAAGTACAAAAGTTTGATCAAGCTGGACTTACCCTGTTCAGCAAGAATTCGAGAGAAGAAGTAAAGCTGAGACAATAAGGAGAAATGAGGTGCGAGATCTTTTATAGGGCACCCAGTATTTTTCCTCCGGAAACAAGATGAGCTCCCACTGGAGGGACTTGATTGTTCACCACCCTGAGCACTTTGCTAATTGGAGAGTTTTTACACTGCTGTTTTGACTCATGGTATTATGAGCAGATCAATATCCCGCCTTTGGGATCACCATTCCTCTCGTTACTCCATAAAAATGTTAATTGCCCACCACACCTGGTGTGGTTCACGTGCAGTGATGGGGAGGTTTCTGGATGGTCTTGCTGCCTTTGATAAAGCATTTACCTGCTTCTTGTGCCTAATGCAAAGCAGCCGTGAGCCCAAGGCGGCAATGCAAAAATATTAGCAGATGGGAAGGTAGGATAATGGGGTGGGCTGGTGGACTGGTTTGCAAAGGAATCCAGAAAATAAAGGGGCTTGAAAGAGAGCAAAGAGAACAAATAAAGCCAGGATGTCATGTAGGAGAAATGAGTGCATTTGGGCAGCTTGGGAAAAAAAAATCTAGGCTGTGAGTGGGCGAAGGAGACAAAGGGAATTAAGGATGCAGGTATGAGCACATGATGGGGTGGCAGAAGGTGAGCACAGAGCCTGGGGCTGGTCTATGTGGGGGGTGCCCTGAAAACAAGGAGTGTGAGCATCCTCTGCCAAGCCCCAGGTGCCAGCACTGGCCATTCACCTCCGCTGGGGCAATGGCACCCAACCCTGGTGGGTTACAAAAGGCATTGAGTTACCTCTGGGCTCTAAAGCTGTCACTGAAGTTTGGGTTTGGGATTTAGAGGTGGGACATGGCAATGCGAGACTTCAAAGCAAACTCCTGCTAGCCGTGTCTGGTTGGAAAAACAGAAGTGGGCAAACAGGTGGTGGGGTATGGCCAGGGAGTAGCAGAGAAACCTATTTCTGAGTAAAACAGCAAAGAAGCACTAAAAGGAGTGTTGCAATATTTCAAGTCAGTCCTTTCTTTGCTCAAAGAGAGGATTTTAACCCAAACAGAAGGAATTTAAAACCCTGTAGGAGACAGAGAGCATCCAGGCAGGAGGCTTGGAAGGACAAGAGGTCTCCAACAGTGTCTCATTCCCATGATACTTGTTCCAAATATCTGCTGTTGGTTACCTTTATTACACTTTGACTGGAGAAAAAAGTAGGGAGGAAAGTGTTGTGACTCTTTGAGCTCTTTCCTCTTTCTGTGCCTCCATCCTCCCAGGTACATTGGGGAGGGCATCGGGATCCACGTCTCCATTGATGTAACACTGCTTTGGGGAGAAAAGTGTCCTTCTGCCCACAGAGCGCACCAGGCCTGATCTCATCCAGGACTCTAGAGGCCACTGTAATATTAATAATAGCACAGATCAAATTAAAATAAAATAGTCGAGGAGATTCATTGCTAACCAATGGAGCTGAATCACTTGAATGAATTGATACATGAGGAGATTAGAATGTATCTGGGGATATTTCACAAACAACAGAAGAACGAAAATTCTTGTGAAACTATTTTTCACAATTCACTAATTACACCCCAGATCACGTGGATGTTGGCAAACCTGTTTATCGTTTCTCTCGGTGACAGAGACATCCACCTGAGCATGGCCTGGTGGGGAGGATGCTCATGTGCGTCAGAGACTTGGAGCCATGTACAAGACAAGACTGTACTGACCCTACAGCTGGTCTCTGAGCCCCACATGTATCCTGCAAAGCTCCTAGTCTTTGGGAGAGGCTTCCCTGCATCCCTTGATCCTATTCTGAGTGGATGGCAGTTTTTTCCTTTGGGTAATTTATTGGTTTTATGGAAGGAATTGCCTTTGCAGTTGTCCTAATACAAGTCTCAGGAGATGGTTTGTTCCCCAGTTTGGATCATGTTTTTTTTGGTGACTTATATGTGGTCATGATTCTTTGATTCTTCCATATGTCAGTTATTGGTTTTCTATTTACGAAGGAGATAAATGAAGCACAGAAAAAAAAAGACATCTTAGAAAGATCTGGGGGATACCCCAGATACAAGTTCAAAACCCCAAATCCCTGAGAGGTGATTTAAACACAAAGAAGATCTCTCTTCTCTTTCAGACAGGGATTGCTCGTGTGAAATCCCTCTCAACAGAGGTTAGACAAATCTATATCAAAATAGCTTAAGCAGAACAACTCCTGCCCTGGGGTGTGGGAAGCAGGAGCTGCCCTCCTGAGATCTCCTCCAGCCCTCTCTTCCCAGCTCGGCAAGCTCCAAAAGGGATTTGAAAGTGGTTTTGGATGCCTTTGCTGGCACTTTTCTTTCCACAGAGGTCCCTGAGGTTTGCACAAGTGGCATTGCATGCACTGGGGTAGCTGAGCCATTGCAGTCCACTGCGCTGCCCATGGGGTAGGCATTTGGGCTGCCCCAGGTCTGGGCCACCCCACTGAGCTGTGCTTGGGGTGGGGACTGTGTGCTCTGCAACGTGCATTGGCATCAGCCTCTGCATATGAGCGAGGAAGAGGTTGACAAGGAAGGCTTGCTGCAGTGTCAGGGCAGAGCATGTCAGTAGCCCCCATGTGTCCTCCTATAAAACCTCCATCCCAGGACAGTGCACCCTGCGCCTTTTTTTACTTCTTTTCCTTATCCAGATCATGCTGCAGGAGAAATCTCCACCATTAACATTGTGAAGTGGCTGATTCTGCGATGTGTCACGTCCTGCAGGTTGGGCCAGGCAGCGCACGGGGAGATGGAGACGATGGAGGCTCTTGTCTGGGGTGGGGGAGGTGCGAGGAGCCACTGGGAACATGATGTTGTGAGTCACTGACTCTGGATCCCTGCTTTGCTGCAACAATCCTCCCAGGTAATTCCTCTTCTAACCCTACCAGGCCATATCTTACAAGGAGTTTGGGGCCTTTTGCCCTGTTAGAGAGAGTGGGTCCCGGCAAGTCCCCCCTGATGTCTACAAACCCATTTCTAATTTCCATTTGACATATATTGCTGGCCAGATGATCCCCATTTCTCCCTCAGTCAAAGTCTTCAGCTCTGAGAGGTCTCACACCTTCCTGGTCTTTCCCAACATCTCTCAGCCATCAGAATGGCACCAAGCGTCACTGAGTATCAGCTGCTGAAGACATGTAGGTCCTGCAGGAGCTTCCTCCTTTGGGTTGAGACAAAATCTGTCACGCTTGTGGTCTCTGATGGTCTAATGGACCATGGACCAGAGCATTTCTCTTCCACCAGCTTCGGCATCCCCTCTTGCTCTACACTAGCTGTGCCATTCCTGTTCCTGAATCCTCTTCCTGACTTTTTCCCCAGGTTTTTTTCTGGAGGCTTATGACGCGAGTCAAACTGTACCTGTTGCCTCGTCAGTGAATGAAATGATGTGCCAAGCAGACCCTCTCATTTTTACCTTTCTGATGAAATGTGTGGGTTTTTTTTTTAAATTAGTCTCTTAGGATTTAATTGCTGGGTTGCATAAAGAGTCCGTTATGAAAACTGTTAGTTACTTCTCAACAAGGAAGTTGCCTGGAGTAGGAATAAAAATACACCAGGTTGAATCAACCAGGAGCCTTGACGTGAGGGTGAATGGGGAGCTGCAAACTCCAGCTTTGGCCACAAAAAGGAACCGAAGCAATTCAAAGGGGTGAAGTGGAAAACACTGATGCAAGGGGGTTATGAACCATAATTTTTTATTGCCTCCATGTCTACTGTGAAATAAGGAAGTGAATAGCACTTAACAGAGACAGTGGGTTACATCTTCAAAGCACGTTACAAGCAAAATGATAGAAAAAGTGGAGATCTGTGAGCAACACGGGACACGCTGTCCATCAGGGCAAGGTTGCAAGAGTGAGAAGTTTCTCCCATTCATTCCCACTCCTCATTTCCTTTACTTTATCTTCTGGGCTGGCACTTTGCAGACCTGCTTTTGCTGCTGGCTTGGGATGCACTTTGCCACGGGCATGCAGCCTTGCTGCACCGGAGAGGGACGTGTCTGCACTGGGCAGCACTGTGGGATGGACTGCGTTGGCTTGCTGTAGTATGGCTTCCCCCCCTGATATCCTGATCCATGGCACGTCTCGGAGCAGACTGACCTCCCATAGCTGTGGCATCCCCCTGATGACCCATAGCTGTATGTGGGTCTCCTGACACAGCTTGAACCACCTCTGTAACATGAACCCGAGGACTCGCGGCATCTCTCAGAGCAGACTGACCTCCCATAGCTGTGGCATCCCCCTGATGACCCACAGCTGTACGTGGGCCTCCTGACACAGCTTGAGCCCCTGCCTCCCTGGCACGAATCAGCTGCAGAATAGCCATGGCATCTCTCAGAGCAGACTGGCTGCCGATAGCCATAATGACGGTAGTTGTGCCCTCTCATGCCTTCAACGCCTTCACCGTCGCACCCCGAGGAGCAGGTGTTGTAGCCATAGCGGAAGGGTGTGCGCCGGGTGTCCAGCCAGGACCCCGAGGGATCATACCAGGTTGAGTTCAAGTTGAAGTATGATTCTCTTCCAGAAGAGTATATCATGTTTGAGTTGTAGAGAAAAACCTGAAAAACACACGGCCAGATAGGCTTGCATTTCCATCTCTCCTTTTTCCATTTAATTTCCCATAAAGCTGCTTTAGTAAGCCATGCACAGGTCAACCTTACTTATCGTGAAAGCCTTGATCTAAAAGAAATTCTTGCAGTTGCCCTGGTACTGGTCAGATTATGTCCAAACCCCCTTTCTGACCTTACCCTTGGTTTTTTTTCCCTCCAAGAACAGAAGCAACCATAAGGCACTGCAGCATATAGTGGCATTGCTGTAAATCCCGTACCCAAGTCCCCCAATAGCTTCTTTCCTGGCTTAGCCTATTGTCCTCTAGCCCTTGTGTGTAGAACATGGTCTGAAGGACAGTGCAAGCGTGCCAGGTCTGTGATGTCCTGAACCCAGATACCCATCCAAAAATGAACCCAGCTGCTCTGGGATGTGTCTTACCCAATTCACAAGGGAAGGCAGATGCTGACCAGGGAAGCAGATTGTGAGAGGCAAAGGGACGGAGGCCTTTTATATGGTTCCAAGTCTTCCCCTTGTAAATGAAACACGCTGCAGGAACGAGGACTAAATTATTTATTGACAAACCATCTCCTCCATTTGGATGCTGTTCCCAGCGCTTGGCATGTTCTGCTTGACTCATGATTCCTGATAAGCATCTTGTAATTATAATGTAGTTACTAAGTGGAGCACATAAAGGACTCGCTTCGTTTAAGCCACACATCGGCTACGTGAAGCAGGTAATAACGTATTTATGCACCATCTCCAGAGGACTGAGGCACTGAGTGGAGGCTGATGGGTGGCCTGTGAGTCAGGAGCTGTGATGTGCACAGTGCTAATGTCCTGGCCTTCCCCTTCTGCTACCGATGAGGAGCATTTCCAGGTGCCTCAAGGACAAACAGGTGATTGGGAAGAGCCAGCTCAGAGTCACCAAAAGCAAAGCACGCTGATGGGTTTTGGTGATGAAAAGGTTGGCTCTGCGATGGAGTGCGATGGATGCTGCTGCCTCAACTTTCAAGTCTTTTGGCACAGTCTCCCACAGCAGCCTTGTAGTTAAGCTGGTGGAGGTATGGACTGGATGGGTAAACTACATGGCGGGTGAAAAACTGGCTGATACTGGTGCTGTTTAACATTGTCATTAATGCCCTGGATAATAGGGTGGACTTGGCAAATTTACAGGTGGCACTGAACTGGGGTGAGCGGCTGAAATTGCTGGAGGATGGGATGTGGGCAGGCTGGAGGAATGGTCCTGCAGCTAGGATGGACTAACTGGGATGGGAGGGCTGGGGTGGCTGGCAAAAAGCAGCTTGGAAGAAAAGATGGACCAAAGCTGACCTGGAAGCGCTGGTGTGATGGCTAAGCTGGCCCTTGGTCTGTGGGCTCTGAGTCACCCCTTCAGGCACTGCACTGGGATGGTGCCTGGGAACTAGCTTCAGTGAGAAGAGGTTGGGAAGAAAATAGCTAATAAAATAAGGGATTTCTGAAGTTAAAGTTCATATGTAAGTGTTTTTTCATTTGGTTAAAATTAGACATGAGAAAAATAAATTGTGATTTGCTGCGTTAAGAAAACAAGAATGAATTTCTTTTTTTCTTTGGTGATTGCTAGTGGCTGTGAGAACACACTGGAGCTATGCTTAGGCAATACAAAGAAAAAAACCAATATATATTTTAATGCACCTAGTGGAAGGCTTTTCTGGCAAAGTGTGAGAGAAACAGCACATTACCTGTGTGCCTGCAAAAGCTGGGCAGTGGAGAGCTGTGCGAAGTGAAAAGGCATTCCTGGCATGCACAGACACACCTCACGTGCCAGGGCATGGGCTTATTATCATGATTAACATTTATATGATGGATGGCCTCCTCATGCAGTGTTACGATCTCGCTAATGAAGGTGATGGCACACATTATGGAGCAAACTGTTTGTACCTAGATCACTTGCTGATGGACCATAGTGAAGTCCCTCCATTGGTCCTCTGATGGGTAATCACAGTGGAGAGGATTTTACAGCCCACAGATGGAGTTCAGCCTGGTGAAACTGCTACAGACAGAGCTGAAATCCTCATGTGTGAACTCTGATTTTGATTTTAAATTTACAAGTTTCCTTGTGAGAATTTTAATGACTTTTAACATCTCCTCATTGTAATGTTGGTAATATTTTTGGGGGTAAAAAAAAAGGAACCAAGTGTCAACTAAATTTTTTCAACTTTATTCTTGAATATACAGGGAGAAAATAAAATTGCGGGAGTCCTTGATGCTCCTGCAGTCACAGTGTGTACTTTTTTCCCAGTACAGTCCTGTCTCTGTTTTCAAACAACCTTGAAATCCATCCACTGAACCCATGGGAGAAGGTGGATCCATGGCAGGCTATTTCCCCATCCTTGTTCAGGCTCTTCCCATTCCGTTTCCCCATCCCCAGGCTGCTCACCTTCTCAGAAGAGGGGAGAAATGGCTGCTCTACTCTGAGGAAGAACAAAGTGGGGTTTGGATGATTAAAGCCTGCTCCCTGACAGGGGGGGACTCTGGGAATTTAAAGTGTCGGTGCTGGGGTCAAACAGGGGACTGCGGACCCTGAATCCAGTGTGCAAAGAGCAGCAGCAAGCCATCAGCCACAGCTGTATCGCATTGTGCCGAAAGCGGAGGTGGGACCATCAGCGGTTTGGGTGAGCGGCGAAGCATCCCCCATGCTGAGGGGGATCCGTCCCAGTGCCTCGCTGGCCCTGTGCTCATTTCTTCTGCAGGCAGGGTGGCAGGAGAGGGACCTGCTTTTGCTGGTGCTGGCTGGGATGCAGCAGCAGGGGCGCAGCAGTTGGGCAGCAGTGCTGGACAGGTGGGTGGCAGTGCGGGATGCAGGGGCAGCGATGCTGCAGTGGCCGGGGATGCAGTATTATGGGGGGACAGGCATCCTCCACAGGACACTGGTCCACGCGCCTCCGGGGCTTGCCGCAGCAACCTGGCTCCTTGCAGTGCAGGGGTGGGCGGTACTGCTGCAGTGGCCGGTGATGGATTTTCACAGGTGGGGGGCAGACGGGCTGTACATGGCTCACCTCCACCCGTCGCCGGGGCTTGCCAAAATTGCAGCTTTGCTGTGGCGGGCAGCACCTCCAGGGTGGGCATGGCTCCATGGGCTGGCAGCCTTGCGGCTCGCTCTGGCAGGACCCTTCAATGTCATGGCTGAGGCTGCTGGCGTCATGGCAAGGGGGCAGGTCTGTGGCACCCATGGGGCTTTTGTGGCAGCACCCTGTGGAACTGTGCCACATCCAGCCCTTCTCGCCACAGGCTGAGCTGTCATGGTACAAGTCCTGGTCGCTGTTGCCTTTACAGTAGTGCATCCTGTGGCAGAGATGGCCAAGCCCTCGGGGATAAATAGTCTGGGAAAAAGAAAAAAAAACCAACCAACTTTTTTTTTGCTGTTTCTATGAAAAAAGTGAGGAATCCAAGACAGCTGAGAGAATCTAACTCACCCTGTGACTGGTGACAGATGGGCTGAGCAGAGAGTCTGAGTCCTGAGGACAGGGCTGGGGCCAAAAGCTTTTATATGTGACCGAGCTCTTTTGGAAATGAGGCATGCCATGGGAATTAATAGCTGAGCAGTGAGTGCCACTTCTGTGTGTATATTTTTTCTGGCACTTGCTATTGGATTAATCAGCTGCAATTAGCATCTCCCTTGATGTAATGTCAGCTTAGCTCTTTGCATATGCAGTGGCGATTATCTAACTAGTTCTCCCATCGGTCATGTTCAAATATGCTGTTACCTAATGTTAGTCAGATGGGATCCTGGGATAAGGATACCTGGAATACTGTGATGCTGAGTAATGTGCCCAAAAGGAGTCTCTTGTGGCAGTGGGAAAACCACAAAAGGGCCCAGGAGTCCTGGTCTCCAGTCCCATGTCCTGGTGCACAATAGCTCTTGTCTTGAAACAGGGTGTTGGTGCAGAGGTATGCAAATGGCAATGTTTTTTCATGAGACTGAAAGAAAACAGAGAAAAATCTATCACTGAAAACAAGTAAGCTTTCTGACAAAATAAAAAACAATTTTTTTTTTTTTAAAAAGGAAAAATTGGAAAACCAGTGGAATTCTGTTTTTAAGAAGAAGCGATTGATTTTTCAACTCTATTTCAGCTTAACACCACCCTGACCAACTCTAAACCAGGAATTGTTATGTTTGTGGAGTGCTCCATGGAGCTGGAGTTTTTCCCCAGACTGCTTTCTAGGTGTTTTACCCATAGCTGGAAATCCAGCCTGACACTCAGCAGAGATAAGATGATTTTACTGCCTCTTCATGCCCCGCTCCACACTTCATGCTATGGTACCGTTGTCTGCAGCTGGAAGTGCCCTGTGATGGAACAGGGTCTACACTCAGTTATCATTTCTACTTGAATATAATTAGAAGTGGGAAAACCTCTTTTTACTATGGTAACTTTGTGAAACTGTGATTTTATTTTGTAAAGCTGGACTCCAAGTGGACTTTTGTTCATTATGTATAAAAAATTCTGAATTCTGGATTAGCAAGATTCAGAAAAAACATCATTTGAAACTTATATTGTAATGCTCCTGTTCTGTAAAAACAGACATCAGGTTTTAATTAACAAGGTTGTCCTGATATGATGACCTTTCTTCATGGAGTACCCTAGCACTGAAGTTGCAGAAGGCATCTGAAAAAGTGCAGAGAGTACAATTAGTTCTTTAAAAACTGCAATTTCTGCCAAGCCAACCCAACTTCTGACACTGAAAATGTTATCTACCAATAGGGGTTTATTTCTTCTTTCATAAGCTTCCATCTGAAAAATCTTCGGCTTTTGATTTGTTAGTGGAAAGTTGAAATTTTCTGTGAGAAAATACGGGAGGTTTTCCAGCTGGCTTTGCAGATTGGGCTGCAGGTTGGACCTGGTTTGTCAGAGAAGGTCTGTGATATCTGCACATGATGCTCATCACCTTCCAGAGTGCAGAGAAACCAGACAGCCAGAGAAATGGCGAGGGAATCAAGGGTGACATCTGGACCATGATGAATGGCAGATGTAGTATGGACGACTGGAAGATGTAAGTTCTGCATACAGGATCCATATGGACACCAGGGCACAGGGGCAGACTATGTCAGGCTGTGGATGGGATGTATATTCCCCTATTTAAATGAATTAATTCCCTTCCAAGTGAGGAGCACCTCGGTCAAGTGAGTGGGTACAACACCAAAAGCCCTTTTATGTGCTGCATATCTGGAACAAGGACACCACAGAGGAGTGCTAACCTCATGAACTAACAATTTCAGGCTTTTTCAAGCACCATATCCACCCTTCTGACATTTCTGCTTTGACTCATTTTCGATGTAAGCTGCTCCACTTTGCATTTCTGTGGATGGTCAAGATATTTTTTAAGTACCAGCAAAGTATCTCTCACAGCAGCCCTGAGGCTCTCAGTGCAAAAGGTATTTCCGTGTGCTCACTCTACAGTAGAGCCTCTGTAAGAGATGCATTTGGGTTTGAATCACTGGGAAAAGCATGTGCAGAATTCAGGGGTGTGATTCCAGGGTGCGTGCTTGGACTTGATGACTTTGCTGCCACTGAGATAATTTATTCTTTAGCTACAGGAAAAATGTAATTGCCTTGCAGGAAGCCATGGGACTTGCATGTAAGGACAGAAAATACCTTGGTATCTGTTAAGGGCCAACAAGGATTTTAAATTTATAACTCATTACCACAGTCCCAACATTATGCTGTTTTGGGATTTTTTCATGTTAGAAGAGATGTTTTGGAGTCAATTCCCTTCCTGAGGGTTTTACAAATCACAAAGTGCAAATATTTCATTTCTGAATCTCATCTCTTAAAATTTGCCACATTTTAATAGAATTCCAGATGAAATTAGATAGTATTTCTGAATCCTTCAGGCTAGACTTATGTCTCCACATCTTTCAATAACTCCCTCCCTCCCTGCACCATGCAGACCATGCTTGCTGGTGTATTTAATCTTATTGACAAGATATCAAGCCTTTTAAGAAGCCTGCTTTAAAGTTCACCAAATTCACTGGAAAGATTTCCATTATCAGAAAAGATAGCTCTTAAAAAAAAAAAAAGATAGCTATCAGAAAATCTTTAGCTCTGGCTTTAGGACCATACACATGCTTCGATCACAGACTGTGTATCTTCAAAGTCATAAGCAGGGGAAAGATAGCATGAAAATGCATGGCCAAGAGGATACTCCTGTAGCTTAGATAATGTATTGACACTAGCAAGCACTATTTTTCCCCAGATGAGGGACTAACCCAAGAAGTTTACCGCATGTACTGGCGTGCTGTCATCAGTAGCATGACAAATAGTTGAAAAATTCATTATATTCAGAAACTAAGCAAATGCAAAAAAAGTCTCAGACCAGAGCTATAGTTTAAAAGACAAAGATAAATGAATCAACATATACCAGAAGTTTGCAGTGTCATAACTTAAAAATTTTATTGTCTTTCATGACTAATTGGAGATTAAATCAAGAAAAGGGAGTACAATACATCAACAGCATTAAACATCCCACACACCAAGAGGAAAATTAACAGTAGGGCTAGTGCTTACAAAGGAAAATCACACTGATCAGTGAGTAGCAACTTCAAAGCACATTACAAGCATTTGGTGATTACAGGCAGACAAAGAGAAGAGATGATCTACAGTCTCTAAGCAAAGGAGGAAGAGCGTTCAGGGCGGTATCCATATCCATATCCAACACCAAATGAGCCAGGAGGGAAGCAGCAAGCAGTGCAGCCCTGCCTGCCCTTTGCCATGTGGGCTTAGTTGCCACAGCAGCCGCCGCAGCAGCCTCCGTTATTGCTCATGGTGTAGCAGCAGGTCTGCATGGGCATGCAGTAGGTGGTGGGTTGGCAGCACTGCATGGGTGGGCAGCAGATTGGTGTCTTGCAGCACTTTGGGCTGCTGTAGCAGCACACGGTGGTGTTATTTCCACCGCAGCATCCACAGCCTCCGTTGGGCATGTTGTTGGTAGTAGTGTAGGCAAAGCTGGAAGAAACGGAGAGAGTCTGTCTGTGACTGGGAGCAGGATATTTGGAAATACAGAAATAATTTAAAGCTCTGTTTATGCTAAATTTGGAGATTCAAGGAGCTCAAACGGAGTGCTATCTTCTTTGTAGTAAATCTTGCTTGTAACTCTTCTCTCTGTCTTTTTCCTGTAATGTAGATGTCCACCTACTCATACCAAGGCATCCCTAATGTCTTAGCAAGAATCACACAGTGCAGTGCACATAGTCCTCAGTCTGGGCCCTTCTGGAATGTTCTCCGTCCCCTTGCTCTGTATGGCCCTGCTAATACTCCTATAGCCTCTCCATACTTTAACGCTTCTAGCTCATCCCCATAATTCCTAGTACACAGTTCATAAAAGCCCAACTTCAGTCTAAGTCCCAGTCCAGTTACCCGGTTATATTTGGATACTGTTATAAGATATACATAACATTTTTCTTCTGTGAAAAAGAAGGAAGATTTAGATGCTCTCACTTACCCTGCTGAAGAGTGAGGAGAGGTGAAGGGAAGAGAAGATGAGCGAATGAAGTGAGCTGGGCCAGGAGACCTTTTATAGTCCTAGACACCTTCCTCCTGGAAGTGAGACAGCCATTGACCATTTGAACATCCCTGTTTACTAACCCAAACCCATACTTTTTAGCTATACGTGTCTTCTGGTATTTACTCTTTGCCATATTATTTGTGATCACTACCTTTGTTTTGCCTCATAATTGTTTAGCCTGCAGATAATCAAAGGGCTTCTATGAATACTAATGAATTTGTCCTCTCTGCAGCTTTGCAAGGCAGCCAAAAAATGTGTCCTTGTATCTGTTTGACAAATGCAGACAGCGACGACCAAAGATGCTAAGGGACTTACTCAGCAGCGGCTGGTGCTGAATCAGTGTAAGAGCTGAAACTGAATCCCCTGGGTTGCGTCTTTTGCACATATGATGGGCTGTTTCATTGGACTGGTGTTTGAAACAAATATTTGGAAAATTTCATCAAAATAGGTATGTTTGTTCTCTGTCACAGGACATGCACGTGAGGAGGGAACAAGAAGACCATGTGTTTGGGATGTGTTGGGAGTCATGCTGGCTCCTGGGTCTCAGTCACCTGCACGTGACTCCATGCAAGATCATCTTGCCCTCATGCATGCCAAGAGCATCTTTGCGATGCCAAAGCCATCGTTATCTTTTGGCTTGCCTAAACTTCTGAAAATCCTCCAATTTGGGGGGTTTAGGTTTGCACACGGGCATCACTAACACAAGAATGCTTCACTTCCTGCTCTGCTTTGCTGGGGCTGCTTTCCTAGAAACATTTTCAAAAACTCTGAACTGAATATTCACTTTAGAATAATTTGCATTTTAATTAGAAAGCTAAGGGGCAGCACTGCCTGTGCAAGCAGGAACGCAAGGAGTCATGGCTCTGGGACTGGGCATGATGCATTGCAAGTCAGCATGTCCCTCCTGCGACCTCCCATTGCATCCAGCTGAAATCCCCTTGTGTGCTGGAGCCCTGGCACCAAGCAGGACCACCCCTGCACAGCTCCTCAGCAGGGAGGGAGGGTTGTTTAGATTTGGAGTTTGTGCAGGACTCTTTGTGGCTGTTGGAAGTGGTAAATGAAGGAGCCCAGCATGGACTGAGAGAGTGAGAGGAAGATGAAGGTGGAAGAGATATGACAAGCACAGGAAACTGGTTCTAACTCGGGTCGTAGAGCTAAGTGGGAGGCAGGGACTCAAAAGTGATGCAGGAAGAGATATTATTGAGGTGAAACCATTTTCTGGGAGGGAAAGAAGAAGGGAGGAAGGTCAAGGTAAGGCAGAGCCTTGGGCAACTGAGCCAGGGTGGATGAATGGTTGTTTATTGCCAGCCACTGCCTCCAATGCACTTTGCTGTGGGGCTGAATGATGGCAGGAACACAGGGTATTTGGGAGGAATTTTTTCCATGGCCTAAAATTGCAGCTCTCATTTGAAGCCCTCGCCACATTATCCTGAGAGGAGTGCTGCCTAATGAGAGGATGGTGGAGCCTGCCTGGCGAGTTCCCTGCCTCCTGCCTGACACCCTCTGGGATCCCTGGGGTCCTCTGAAGAGGGATCCTCCTAGATGAGTGGCTGCCAGCCCCAAAGATGCTAACAGGGGCCTTGGTTTATTTTCTGCACAGTGCAAGGGGGAGCAGATTGTGATTTTAGTGCCAATTTGCCCCTGCAGTAAATGCAGCCAGCTCCTTTCCAGGCTTTCCTGGAATGAGAGTAATTCCTTGAGTGAAATGGTGGAGAAGCAACACATGTAATTGCAACTTCTCCAGACAGGGTAGAAGAACATGCATGGCATTTTCTTTCCAGCAGGTCTCCTCTGAGGTGACATACATTTCCCTGCCCAAGAGAACTGATTAATTTACAAGGAATTAATGGGGCAGAAGCAAAGGGGCGCACTTCACTTGTGCCTCCAGAGGGAAAGTTCTCAATGGCAAATCCTGCAACTGCTTGAAGAAGTGATGATCTAGATGGGCATTTCCCACCCATGATAATTGTGTCCAGCCATTTGTGTAACCTAGGTACTCAAATGGTCTTTGGTGAGTGGGCTATGGATCTTAATGCAAAGAAGGGACTGAAGCAGTGTGGAAACAAGAGTCAGCAAGGGCGTTAGACACAGAATGCGGTCCACGGTGCAGACCTTGCATGCTATGTTTTGGTACAACTCTTACTGACCCAGTCACTCCTTGAAGACAGTAGAGGTTTCTCACCATTTGTTCTAACACTTCAGCTCAATATCTGGTAACCCAGACATTTTAGCAGAAGCAAGACCTCCATCTCATAAATCTTAAACTATTTATAGGGACTGCCTGTAGGTTCTGAAGTAGACCTCTAGCTGGTTAAAATACATGGAGCTTTCCTAGTTGGGATGTGCCTGTGTCAAACTGTTTCAGAAGAAATTCACATCCTTCACAAGTTCATATATTATTTTCTTCCTATTTCTTTGTAGTTTTATAGTGAGAGGAGAAATATTGCTTGCAGAAATAACAGACACTCAGCTTTTGTTTGAATAGACCCATGCAGAAGCTCAGAACTGCATTAGGGGTGAAATGATTTTCTTTGTGTAGGCACCCTCCCCTAGTTAGCACCTTTTAGACAGGAGCATCCCAAAATTGGAAAAAAATGCAAAGAAAAGGTGATAGGTGCAGTGATACACTCTGGATTCACCAGCTAGCAAACAGATAACCACCAAGAGTTTTGCAGGGTCATGGACTACAGACTTTATTGTTTTTCAGACAGAGTCAAGCAAAACAGTAATGAAAAGAATTAAACATCCCACACACCAAGAGGAAAATTAACAGTAGGACTAGTGCTTACAAAGGAAAATCACACTGATCAGTGAGGAGCAACTTCAAAGCACATTACAAGCATTTGGTGATTACAGGCAGACAAAGAGAAGAGATGATCTACAGTCTCTAAGCAAAGGAGGAAGAGCGTTCAGGGCGGTATCCATATCCATATCCAACACCAAATGAGCCAGGAGGGAAGCAGCAGGCAGTGCAGCCCTGCCTGCCCTTTGCCATGTGGGCTTAGTTGCCACAGCAGCCGCTGCTGCCACCGCAGCAGCCTCCGTTATTGCTCATGGTGTAGCAGCAGGTCTGCATGGGCATGCAGTAGGTGGTGGGGCGGCAGCACTGCATAGGTGAGCAGCAGATTGGTGTCTTGCAGCACTTTGGGCTGCTGTAGCAGCACACGGTGGTGTTATTTCCACCGCAGCATCCACAACCTCCGTTGGGCATGTTGTTGGTAGTAGTGTAGGCAAAGCTGGAAGAAACAGAGAGAGTCTTTTTTTCTCTGCCTGAATCTCCCAGTTGTTTAGGCAGCTTAAAACATTCTTATCCCAAAGTCCATCTCAAACTGGCTGGGGAAGTCCCTACTGACCAGAATCCCATGACAGCCTCTCCCTGAGATCTTCACATTTTTGCATTGGACACTGGTGCATTTGGCATATTGTCCAGCACTGGTTCCACCAGAAAGAAACCACCCAGGTGGATCCCAAAACCAATCTCTCAAAATTGGTCCCAAACCAGACAGTATAGGAAATCCTGGACGGCTTCCTGCAAAAGCACACAGAAGTACAGTAGAATGCAAATGAAAAGGCAAGCGGTAAGCTCTGACTTACCCTGTTGACCAGTGAGGACAAGAGAGGAGAAGTCAAGATGAGTGAATGAAGACCACTGTGATGGGGAGCCTTTTATATGCTTCAAAGACATCCCCCTGGAAATGAGGCATTCTTTGGCAATTCTGACTTCATACTGTATCACCCAGTATATGCCTCTCACATGTCTTCCGGTATTTAATCTTTACCTCTTTCTGTTTGCTCACCACCTCAATTCTGCACTGTAATTAGTTGTACATACAAACAACAGGTGCAAATTTTCTAGTGAATTTGCATTAATGGGAACCAGAGGTAGCTGTAAAGTATTGCTATCCACTTCCCAAGGAATGACCTTGAGACACAGAGACACTTAACAATGTGCCGGGGGGAGGTGGGTGCTGAAGCAGTGGGAGAACCATGCCTGGAACTTGGAATTGTCACCACTTGTGTCCCCTCTGCACTTGGCTGGGATTTTAGGGAACAAGTGGAGGCTATGGGTCTATGTGAATCCTTTTTTCCGGCCTCTGAAAGGTGGCTATCTGGTCAAAGTTAACACTGAAGATTTTCTCCTTTCTTAGTCTTGTTCTTGGGTCTCCCTCCATGGTGTTTGGTCCTCACACCCCCTGCTTTTTATTTCTACTAAACTATTAAGAATTTTTTTCATTTTCATCCATGAAAGAGATGGATTAAGTCTAAATTAAGCAGCTTTCAAAGCAGTAGTACACACGTTAGCTTTTTTCTCTGTTGTTTCCATACACTCCATTTTCTGAGACTATTTCTAAGGTCTGTGAGACTGAGACAGCTTGTATTTAATGGTATTTGTGATGATCACATTTGAGTGTTTCA